TTAGAACCAGTAATAAAGCGACCTATTAATAATACTCATTATATAGTTATATAGGTACTGTGATTCATTTCATATGACATTAAAAAAATGTTATTTAATAAGTTATTTTATATTCATTTTTGTCTAAGCATGATACGGTACTATATATTGCATTATTGCCTGTATATAATATTGTCATTAAAGTATTTCTTTTACTATTAGACATTAGTTATACAATAAGTTTAATTAATTTTTTTCTAAAACAATTAGGTACTTTTGAAAATGATTTCGTGTGTACCTACTATGCATACAATATAATAGCATACTTTAAAAGTTTTAACTAGGTATCCACAAATAATATTTATAAAGACAATAAATAACTGTAATGAACCGAAAACCAACATCATACCTATAGATCTTGTATAATCATTATAAATATTATTTGCAATCATTAAAAAAATGAAAACGACTCACCTTACTACACGATGATTTGAAGTTTTATTTCTAGCACTAAGTCAGTGTGCTTTACATAAGTTTATAGCCAAAAAACCGCACATAAGACAAATGATATATAATTAACATTACGATTTATTAGAGGTGACCATATTAGGCGAAGAGCATTGTCGATAATGTTGTATGACGGTGGTGCCATAAAATATAAGAATAGATAAAATCATCAAGAACGCTTGAATAAAACTGCTAATTCCGGACTTGAGATAACTCTGCACGATGGAAGCATGCAGTAATACTGAATTCCATACCACACAATTCTTAACAAAACATGGGAGCTTTAAGTCTTACTTTCAGCGGTTTGTAAGAGTGGACAGTCCCGAGTGTGTCTCGTGTGAAGATATTATGTGGGCGATAATACTTACTTAGCATCCGTTATAAAGTTGTGGCTGATTGGCTAGAAAAGATAGCTCTGGAAAATTCTGTGGGCAATGACGTGAACCTGGAAACAATATTTACAATTATGTTATGCTAAAAAAGAACCAGCACCCTTATGAAGTGGTGCTAACGTAACTGCTTTCCTTGATATGAAAATTAACGTCAAAGCTGGCCCTGTTGTTATGACGTGCACCGCGACACACAATGTGCACCACGAATGTACAAGTGTGCACTACGGTCTACAAAACAAAAATTACATAATATGCAGCTACTAGAAAATATAAGTATTTCCCGAATTTTGTTGTTTGATTTGATTACATTATTAAATTATTATCCTTATATTTATATACATATATATTATATATGTAATACATCGCTTTTTCAAAGAATGTAGTGCATACAATTTTCGTTTAAAGCAGTAAAATTATGTGTGSAGTCCGAAATTTTACAAAAAGTAGGGCCTGCGTTAAAGAGAGCATATAGTCTGGTCTGATAAGTAATTGCAAAATCTATGATAATAAACCTAAGAAGTTCATGAAAGGATGATCAATGACGAAATTTTAATAATATTGAATTTGCAAAAAATAAATAAAATTGTTATTTGTCGTTTTAATACCTATTAATTTATATTTTTTAAATTTTTTTCTCATGACTCTATAAACTTACAACTAGACTAAAATTGCTACCTACCTACTTAAATTGAAAATTGAAAAGTACACGATATGAAAAATATACATTGGGCATTTGTAACTTTTACTTCACATACTTTTAATTATTGGTTTTAATACTTAATCAGTATTAAATGAAGTTTARTTCACTATAAATATTGTGTTATACGCAGGTATACGTATACTCATGACTTCATGAGTTATGATGGTATGGAGCCAAAAATAATAAATATTYTTTTAATAAAACATTTATAACAAAAACCATTTGCGGTGGTTTRCATTTATTAAAATTTTATTTAGGTATTCATCYTATTCTCGTATTCATTTAAATATTACATCACATTTATGTTATGAACTTCAATAGAAAATAATTTCCTATTATAAATTTAAAGTTTATCTATATAATTAAACAAATCCAATACAGTTTGATTGCGATGATTAAAATTAAATATGAACTTAAATAATTTTTGTTTTTATATTTCGTATTTTGAACGAGGCCTACAATTGATTAGTGTTAAAACAAGTGCCTAAATACTTATTTTAGGTTTCTTTTTWAAAAAAAAAATAACAAACACAATTTGGCATGTATCAAATGTTTTAATAATTTAATATGTATTGAACTTATAATACTGTATACTTATAAACTTACAAATAYCTAACTGATTTTAATCGAATAATTACATAATATACTTTATATACAATTATTTATTGAATAGTTTTTTATACTATAGAATTTACTATTTAAAAATTGACAATAAATGAATATAACTTTATTAATTAATTGTCAATTTCTAATATTTCCACAGTAATTATAAACGTAAATATATTGAACAACAATTAATAATAAATTTGATTAAAAATTAAAAATTATTATTTAATATTAAAGTACCTATGTTTATTGTCAAAGGTACACGAGTTGTGTGTGGTGAGGTAGGACATAACTCGATATAACCATAGTAGTACCTCTATAATTACTTATAGGTTAAAAGATAAAAATACAATTATAAAAATACGTAAAACTATTACATAACTATAATACCTATTCGTTATTTTAAATGTTTACATGCATACTTTTATATTTCGAATATTATTATTAGTTAAAATGGATTTGTGTAAGGTAGGTATTTAGAAACAATATATAATATATTAGGTATAAGTATTTACTAGATATGAAACAATAATTATTTTTATTTACAATTTAATCATATGCATTGAAAAACGATTTAAGTATAATATTGTTCTACTATCTAATATCGTCATTATAAAAGTATATAATGCAATATAATTTGTACTTAAAAAAAAGTATTTATATATATAGAACATTGAACAGTTTTAAATATAATGCATGTAAAAAGTTATCTACTTAATATTCTGAAGAAAATAACTACCTTCGATAGATATAGGTGGTCGCAATTCTGCAGACGATAATTATTATCGCCTTAAGTTTAATTAATCAAAATCGGATATAGGTATAGTAATAATATAATCATATACACATAATATATATATATTTATGAATTTATAATACTGTGTAGTCATAATTGTATAAAATAAATGTTACAAATAAATTAATTTCAATTGAGCTCCAAGTGCTTATATTGTATGCGTATATATATCTACTGTATTATGTATATTATAGGTTGTATCATACGCGTATCCGTACATATCTAATGGCTAATAATAATAATATTATTATTATTATCATATTGTTATAATAACATTCTATAGTGGCACAAGACCGTTTCTAGCTGTCGGATTTCTGGTCATGTATATGTCCATGTCGTGATCGGTCCAATTGTCCGACGTGTCTCCGCCGCAATAATTGTTGAGCGTGTGATGGGAACCGGTATGGCTGTACCTGCTGGGCGGTCTGTTTTGCGTTCCATCTCTGGTCCTCGAACGTTGCCTGGGCTTGTTACGGGATGTGTTCGTGCGGCCACTGCCCGGATAACTGATGTGTGACATCCTCTCGGAGACGGCCAACGACTGCCGCGATTGCCTCAGTTCTGCCGAACAGATTAATTCGTATATCGACATTATTATTATTATAAGGTTACCGGCTCGGCCATCGACTTACCGGGTCTGGAATTGACCAGATCGGTCGCGTATGCGTTGTTTCCGCCCAAATACCTCATGGAGTTGTTCGAGAAACTGTTCTGCGACTGGCCGTCGGCGACTGAACGCATTTTCGGCGGTTTCGCACTGAAGTTTGAAATATTCGAGTGTAAATCTTCATTGAGCCCTAAAAGCAAATAAATGTATTAGTACGATGTATAGACGCACCTTTTGATCGTCAATATAAAATTCGCGAAAAATATTATAGTTTCTTCTAAAATATTCAAATAAATAGGGAGATTATGCAATAATAAGCAAAAAAAAAATAACGTAGTTATGATTTTACAAGCAGGTAACTTACTATAGAAAATGTACATKTTATGATACATGTCATGATTTTTAAACTATTGCACATGTCAATAATTTTACTTTCTTAAAAATTAGATTAAAAGTAGATTTAAAAATAAATAGCCATAGTATCAAACTGCTATTGTAGGTATTTTTTTTCTATATATTGTTGAAAAATAAACTTGATGGAAAAATAACGCTTCACATACTATTTTTTTAAAGTTGATGTATAGAATTTAAGTTTTCGAAATCTGATAACCCACAATAATACACCATCATCTTACACGTAAAGATTTGAAGATAATTCAACGTATTAACAAGTGATATATTAAATTAAGTCAACGTTAAGAAATAAGAATGTAAAGTTATAAATTTAAAGACCGGATTTATATGCATTTTAAATTGTAAAATATACGATATGCCTGGAAGAAAAAAAGGCGGAACACGCATACTAAAATTTCAATTTTTATTAAATTTTATATTTTAGGTATTTAAATTTTGCAGTGATAAATTATGATTTATGATTTATCAAAATTATCACTGATAATAAATTATTAATTTTATTTAAATTTTCATTAAAAAAGTAGATAAGTAAATACAGCATACTTTTAGTTTATATATTTTAATTTTTGTGAAACACTCATTCATTAGTCGTATCTTATTATAATTGTTGAGTTATAATTATTTTATACTGGTGCTAATAAAAAAAAGTAAATAGTATGTGGTACAATGTAATAGGCATGTTAATTGGAAAAATAATAAATTATGAGGGTGTGTTTAATGTTTATTTCTGTACAATTATGACGACGATCTGTAAAGATGTAAGTACTTGTTAGATGAAAAACTGCATTAATCGTCAACACTGGTTATTAGTAGGTACATATTTAAAATTAGCTAATACATCCGRTGAATAATTTTAAACAGACTAATCGTTGAAATGATCATTGTCACCTTGAAGTATTTTTGAAATTTCTTTTAAAACCATTAGTGCTTTATTTTTTATCGAAAACATTTTTAAATTTTGTTTTAATTATTGTACTTGGTACTAGGAAGTTCATTGATAGAATTTTTCATTTGTTTAACGAGTTTACAAGTGACAAATTAAAATTTTTAGTGTTTTGATGCTTTCAACGGACAACGATACATGGAMAATTTACTTTAAGTAGGCAAGATCATATTTCACATTTAATTTATTTAAAATTAATTTACAATTTATAATGTTTTGTGCTTCATATTTTAAGTTTTAAATTAAAATATTCAAAAATATACAGAACATGCATTAATTTCAGAATAATATACAAAAGTATGCAGTATAAAATGTTGATAYTTTATCTGTCTAGTAATGATTTATGTATAGCCATTGACTGCGTGTATAATGATGTTTAAAATATCAACATGCATTTTATGCAAAATCCGGCGTTTAGTTATAACTTAAATAAGTAAATAGTTAATATAAAATATTATTATACCTACTCTAAAAGCTTAAATTTAATGTGGATTAGATGTTATAACTCTTAGCTCAGTTAAAAAGTTATTTCCACCTGGTCCACACACATTGATTGTACAATAATCAATTTTTTTAAAAAATAATTTCCAAATATTTTGTTAAAAATGTATACCTAACCTAACCATTCCTTTCTTATGGCATATTAGTAGACAACTTTTAGCATTTTTTTTTTTTTATGAAATTATAATGTCTACAATCAAATTATAAATGTATTAAATATTTTTATGTTTATTTTTGTGTTAAAAATAGTGAATTCATTCGTTTTAATTACCGTCATCGGCTTCAATCTGTACGTAATTGAATGATAAAGACATCATGACTGTAATTTAACGTATACATTATCCAGAAAAGGCGATATATTATTACAACGGATGCTTTAACTAGTCAAATTATTTAGTCAGTTGGATAGTTAATTAAAAGTCTTAAAAAAATTAACCTTTTAACTGGGTAATTGATGCTCTTTGCATTACAAATTATTATAACATTCTCACCTTGTCTGCTATCGGCCATTCGGTACATTCGGGACGGGTTTAAACTCCGATTGCTGTACACCGAACCCTGATCCCAATCCTTGTGACTGTTGAACGCATTTAGGGCGGCCAAAGAGGACATCTGGGCTGCGTTTGGTCCTGCGTAGCAGTTMGCCGGTAAGGTGCCCACCGGGATGCCGGATTTGTTTGGATGGCCGGACGCTACCGCATTGTGCAACGTTCGCAGCTTTTTGGCTCGACTCTTGCTCGCCGCAATGAACACGACGACCGCGATCAAGACCGTGCCACATATGGCTGCACTTGCTGCAATCGTTATTCTGTCCATGTTACTGGTCATTGTAACCGCTGTCCTTATTTCCCGGCACTGGCTGTACGGGACCGTGTCAGGCGTGATGGTAATTTCCTCCAGAGATATGACGCACACGATAATACATTCCTACATAAATATAAATAGTTATAAATTACGGTAGATAACGCGGGTATTTCTTCTGTCTATAATGCACCTAGTATAGTATACCTAACCCCAAAGTGAATAGTGATTCTCGTTCATTGCACGAGGTTTTGGCCATTGAATTAAATACTTCACTTATACTYTTTTCTGACCTAATAGTCTGGAGGAATTGAACCGAAATAACRTATTAAAGATTTTGGTTTGAAATTTTTTTTTGAAATCATTTGGAATAAAATTAGATACCTAGTTATAAATAGTAATTAGGTAGGTACTAGTATTAAATAACCTACTTCCAAGATAAATTTATA